CGCACGACATTCACTGTAGGATTGATCGCCCCCCCCCCCTTCTTCCGCATCGTCTCCTTTTTTATATATTTTTTTGGTGTGTAATAGTCGCTTGTTCATAATTTGATATATATTTCTCGTTTGAAAGGTGAATAACATTTTCTTCGACTCCTCAGCATGTTTTCGCAGCGGTCACTATTCACTATCCTCATATACCTAGCGAATCCACACTAGACCATTCGCGACTGAAGCAAACCATCAAGACTTTTCACAAAAAAGCTGGGCCGATCATTCGGATGTGCGAATGGCGGTGTCAGTGAAATGCCCAAAAGGAGAATCTCGACATGACCCTACCCTTCCATAGACAACATTACATTTTTCCAAGTTTTCTCAATATTTGGTGGAGGAACGAGGTCGACACCTTGGCGGAGGGTCGTAGTGAGAACCGGTGTGAGGGATCGAGTTAGTGGAGATAAACAACAAGCTATTTCAGTCTAGCCAAGACTGCATATAAGGATGTATCTGGCGCGCTTGTGAAAGTCCAGCTCGAAAATCACACATTATCAGCAAAAAGTCCAAGAAAACTAAGCCCCATTCAGGAATCACCAAGGACCGCTTGGACCGTTCTGGAAAAGTTCCCGTGCTGATCCTATTTGGTGCACCTGGTATTTAACTAAATCCAATTCGTTGATGAATATATAAGGGACCTTGGCGTACTTTAGTCATTTGCACGAAAATAATCATTACACGCTGGAGCATCGCATAGAATTAAGGCCGCATTCATACTTTGCGGCAGCGTTTTTAGGTGGATGGGAAAGTCAGTTCAGCGTGTAGGCTACCGAATATAGCTTCTTCGCACGCCCATCAGAACTGTTGTGAAGGTCAATGCAGCTTGGATCTGGACGCTTATATCTAACTTCAATGCGACGGTATCGCGTACATAGGCCCAAAGGTTTTAGCAGCTGTCATCTTCGCATAATAGACCAAAACGACCTGCAGTGTATGCTCAAATACGACTTGCTAGTCTCAATAGCTTATAAATGCACGTTCGACGACCGAATTACAGGTATTCTTTTGGTGCAAGTCAAGTTTCAGAGTTTCTTATACTGCCATTTCTCTATACGGCTAAGATTTTGCTTTTCTCGCAACTCCTACACAAAAAAAAATGCAGGAATATATCACAGTTCAGGGCAAGTGTTCGCACCTGAAACAGAGAATCTTTCTTTTAGACTGGAGAGGCGATATCTTTCCTAGGAGATGAATCGTTGACTTCTTGACGTCGTTCGCTTCCATGGGAGGCGTGCCGTTCAGCGGAGTGCCGGTGACCGGCTTGTTTTGGAGATGGATCGACTGATACAAACAATTATGTATTCCCAAATACATAAGATAACAAAGTCCGATGGAAATAAAGGTATTAATGCAGAAAAAAACTATTACCTTCGCCTTCTGCGTACGTCACCTCTCCTTGATGGGCGAGGTGATGACCGATCGGAAACACTATGAGATCTAGACCTAAACAAGGATTTTAGCAAATATTTTTTAACAGGAGGCCATCAGTTACAAAGACGCTGACACTGTTGGGAGGAAACACACGGCAGTGCACCAAAATGTGTTCGTCTGCGCCCCTTGAGATAGTAATCCCCCAAGCTCAATGTTAGAGGGTGCGCGACGATCGGGATAAAGGGCCTAGCCTAGCTTTAGCCTTGTGCCCTTCCCCCACCACACTAGGAATCGTTGGGCAAGAAGAAATAGGCACATACAAGGAAATCATACCATTTGTAATGATAAAAATCGTTACCTTCTACGAGGCTTTTCACGTCGTTGCCTGGGAGAACGTGACGACGATCTAGCTGATCTGCTTCGAGATCTGAATGCAGAATTCATTGGAAAAACTTAATAAACCCTTTGAAAAGAGGCTAAAGACAGCAATTCAAAATAGACTTCCGGAATAGAATCACTTCAAAATTATCACCTTCGTCTGATATTCCTACGTCGTCTATCGGGCGATCGTGAAACTGACCTAATTGACCCGCTTCCAGATCTTGACCTAAATATGAGCCGTTAGCAAAAGAGAAGAATTCTTCTGTTTATTTTCTAAAATGAAACATGAAATGAAAAAATAAAATAGGAAATAATATCTCAGTTGATTATTGGTTCGTCCAGCCCGCGTTTATGCCCCAAGTGTTCTACTTTTCTTGGACACGTTTACTGAAGCCAAAAACATCGCAGAACATCATTCCATACGCGTTTAGAGCCATTTTTAACACCATATTAAAATGAAGCATTGACACTATTTTCCCTTTACTGCCCCCCTCTTCGGAAATCGTTCCATATTTTGACCGAATTTTTTTCTCTGTTGAAAGAGCTGTCTTAAGTTTGATGCCAGGTAATTTGGCACCGCGAACACGAAAACCACATCCGCTTGACACGAAAACGCCTATTGCATCGGCATCGGCGGCAAAGCACCATGAAACACCAACTAGGCTGAAAACTTTTCCAACGGTAGTTAAACACCCCGAAAAATAAATAACACATCTGCTGAGCGCGTGCATGGTACGCACGATACACCAGAAACATACGATGCGCCGAAAATGGCCTGTGCCCCCGGCCCGAGCAGAAGGCGCCAGGCGTTTTCGTCTGAAGAGAAAGTTCAATCAGAATATCCTTTGGAGCGAAGTTTTGGCCAAATCTACCGCAGGAAAATTCCGATCAGAATGATGTCTGTTCAGTGGGGCGGCAAACGATAAACAATGACAAATAACTCTGTAAGAGCACTATGATCATATGTCAGGAGACCATCTTTTATGTTCGCAACTGTTGATAAATGAACATTCCTAATCGCTGGTGTTCCTTCCTCAGGATTCATGCCATAGACGAATTCCGTTGCAAAAGGTTCAAAGTTGCCCATTACCTAAGCTGCAAGGCATGGATTGTGAATAGTGTGAGTAGGGCTTGTCCTGCCGCTAGGGAAAAATTTCGCAAAATACACGGCTCACCCGGAATATCCTCCTCTAGTACGACAGCCTGCCCCTTTCTCCATCCTCACACCTACCTAACATTTTCCTAACTCGAAAAACCACCGTCGCCTCGGGGAGGTATATAGCGCCTATGGGAAAAACCAAGGAAAGTCAACAACCGAAAACATTTTCCTTGTAAGCAAATACGACTGCCCCCTCCACCAACCAAACGCAACTCCTTTGTTGGAGATCCCAAACGTACGACGTGCAATAATTGCTACTCATTTCCAGTGAAGAGTTTGAGAGCCAAGAAACAAGAAAAGCTTGGGACACTATTGGTTGGAACGGGAAAAGTTGCAAAGTCGCGCAGAAATGCAGATTGTTTGCTTCTACACAATATTGGTGGGAACTTACCGCCTTCGATAACGGAGTGGCGGACTCATGCTCCTTTTTCGTGAACCCTTCTCGCTTTCATCTGATGAGCTACTCGATTCCGCAACACTGGACGGCATCTGAAAGGTCGTTGCTACAATAAAATCACAAATAACTTTTCAGGAACAGTAGCGGCATGAAGATGTCAAAAAACTGAAAAAAAACGCCCTTCATTTATAAACACTCAGAAAAGGATAAAAACACCGAATCAATCAATTCACGAAGATGTGTAGCGGTTCAAACGAAGATAAGATGCTCAATTAACAGGTTGAGGCTTCAACATTTGATCCGATAAGCTCAAAGGACGAAACACCTCGAAAGCCGAAAATTTTTGAGTAGCATCTCGGTTCTCAGGACCTTCTCCAGGCCATTTACTGTAGATCAAAGAACTGAAGAAGATGCTGGGGATCGGAGTACTGCTGAAAAAATTGAAAAGCGCTTGATCTCCTCAGCTCTACGCGGTAAATCCAGTCTCATTCTACTGTTCATTTTCAAATAACTATGAGGTTTCGGAAACGTGTAGTACTCGAGAATGAAATGATCAAAATAAGAAATTGTAGAAAGACCAACGATAACTTAAAAAAAGACTACTGGATTGCGACGATTTGAAAAATCTGACAAAAAAAACAGAATGTTAAAGGTGCGAACCGATTCGCAATGGGGCGCGGCCGTCGGGGGTATTTTCGTCGAGGCATCTACCAGTCCAGTAGTTCAGGGGAGAAGGTAAAGGAAGAGGGATCAGAGGAGGAGTAAGGAAAAGTAGGAAAGAGGAAGAAAGAGAGGCTTCTCGGTTGTCAGGTGCCCTGAGCGGACGCCGCGCTGGATCCAAGCGGAGACCTGCCAAATTTTGCAGAACTATGCAGAGGTACCGGCTTCGTTTACGCGCACTAACAAGAGTTGCACTGATACTCTACCAAGCTGAGACGTCTTGGAATTCAACAGGAAACTAGTGCGAAATTGCGAGATTGCTCTGGGCCGCCCCCTTGTAATAAATGAGCTAATACATATATATTGCATTATTATTTAATTATGCTAGCGAAGTGCACAATGAAAGGAACTAATCAAAATATCAAAACGTTCACCCTGCCTCCAAATGCGACTCTCCGTGAATCATGACATGTTCCGCAGTACTGTCAGCTTTAATGCAATAAATCTCGAGGTACTGTAGGAAGGTAACATTGTGAAAAATGGATTATGGTTTTGTTCGTTGCGGATGCATGGGCATGACAGGGAGCTGGGTTTGACGCGGCGCCAGACGCTTTTCCACCAATAGCTCAAGAGGATGACCGGTGGGACACGGACTGGCGCCGCGCGAGCTCCAGTCCACTGACACGCCCCAGCATTCGCAGTGAACCGGACTATACCCCTATCGTGAGTTGTGCAGCCGTGGTGGATTTTATACTGGCCATGAATTTCTTTAGTTGCATTTCCGGTAGAGAAGGTTCAGCTTCCTGAAATGAGCAGCGGAAACGGCACTAGGTAATCATTATACTGAAGGAATGTGGCGCGCAGTCGTCCTTCATGATTTTTCCCTAGACAAATGATTCACAAATTGACAC